AGGGTGTATGCCAGATTGACACTTTTGTTTGGTGGCATGGAATTGCGTGAGTGTGAGACCATACTCCGGGGATTGGTGTTAGCACGGAAATCGGAGATCAGAATAAGTGCCTTGTGTAGGCTGCTTGTGGGCAGAGTTTTGGCACCAGTGGAAGGGATTTTCCCAATGTATGCGTGAGGGGGTATATTACGCCGTTTTAGTAAGTTGAGGTTACTGCCAAGGGAGCATGAGGTGATGTATCAGTTTAAAAACATAAGAACATAAGAAAGGAGGAACACTGAAGCAGGCCTGTTGGCCCAAACTAGGCAGGTCCTTCTCAATTCATCCCACTAACAAAACATTTGCCCAACCCAATTTTCAATACCACACAAGAAATAAGCTCTGATAACTCTATCAACTCTCATATGCAAATCCCACTCAAGTCCAACCCCTCTCACTCATGTATTTATCCAACCTAAATTTGAAACTACCCAAGGTTTTAGCCTCAATAACTCAACTAGGAAGACTGTTCCACTCATCAACTACCTAATTTCCAAACCAATGCTTTCCTATATCCTTTCTAAATCTAAACTTCTCTAATTTGAATCCATTACTCCGGGTTCTCTCTTGGAGAGACATCCTCAAGACGTTATTTATATCTCCTTTATTAATACCCATCATCCACTTATACACTTCATTCATGACTCCCCTTATTCTTCGTCTGACAAGTGCATGCAATTTAAGGGTCTTCAATCTCTCTTCATAAGGAAGATTTCTAATGCTATGTATTAATTTAGCCATTCTATGCTGAATGTTTTCTAACGAATTTATGTCCATTCTGTAACATAGAGACCAGAACTGAGCTGCATAATATAGGTGAGGCCTTACTAATGATGTATAAAGCTGAAGTATAACCGTTTGACTTCTGTTGCTTACACTTCTTGATATAAATAACAAAAAGGCACAATACCGTGACTGGAACGATACACAAATAACCCGCACATAAAAGAGAGAAGCTTACGACGACGTTTCGGTCCGACTTGGACCATTGACAAAGTCACACTAACCAGAGGTACGAACGAACGAACGAAAGTTCAGGTAAGATCCCAAATGGGATGAGCGGGGGAGACGGGACAGACGAAGAATAGTGCTGGAGAGGAGTGTTCTTAGTTGTAGAAATAGAGCCAGGGCTTAACCCAGAGGTGAAGCAGGACGGCTATATATAGGCAGGAAGAGGTGGTGGTGGTAGTAGTAGTAGTAGTAGTAGTAGTAGTAGTACAAGAATTGTATATAATACCGACAAGATGAAATTAAGACACATGCACCCAAAACCCGGCATTCCCATCGTAGACCCTTTCGCCATCCAGCCCGCCACTGGAATGGCGGAAACGTCCACAACAAAGACAAAACCCGACGCCGCCACATGTGTCTTAATTTCATCAGTAGTTGTTGTAGTGTAGAAGAAGAAGAGGTGTAGTAGGTGTAGTGGTAGAAGTGGAAATAAGGATGGCGAGCCCGTCAAATACAAAGGAAGGGGAGCACTGCAAGAGAGCTAGATGCCCACAGAGGGAGAGCAAGCGCACAGAGGTGCATGAAAGGGGAAGTGGTGAAATAAATGAGAAGGGAAAAGAAACACGAGACAGGAGAGAGAAAGCCAACCCAGAGGAGAAAAGGAAAGAGGAAAGGGGAAGAGGAAGGAGAAAAAGAAAAAGAAAAAATGAGGATTAGGTTAAGTCACGGTTGTTCTGAAGGGTTTTGGGGCATTTTACAAAGTAGTGGGAGATGAAGGCATCTACAGAGACTAAGGCAGGGTAAGGTTCATACAAGGAAAGTTGTGTATTAGAGAGGATTCAATAGAGGCGACTGTTCGAGTTGGGAAGTAGGGAAGACAGTTTTAGCAGAAGACCAGTCAATAGGATGGCTATGATCTCTGAGTGACAGAAAAGAGCATTGTTAGTGTCGGCAAGCCTAACACTATTTTTGTGCTCCCTAAGTCTGTCAGAAAGAGATCGACCAATTTCTCGAAGTTTTGAAGAGGACAGGAGGAGCAAGAAATAGAGTAGACCCCAGGAACATCTGTAGAGGGAGGAGAGGTATGAACGGATTAGTGCGAAGAGTGTTAGTCTGGCGGAAGGTAAGCTTGATGTCTAAGGGACGGAGAGAATTGTTGAGATTAGAAAGACCGGAAATGTAGGGGGCGAGGATAAAAGAGTTCCCATGGTAGAGAGTTTGGGAGAGAAAGTAATTGCGTTTAGCAGTGAGGGGGCCCAGAGTCTATGAAATGGGAAGGGGTTTACCCAAGACGGGAGAACGAATTATGAAGAGTGGGAAAATTTTTGCTGGAAGGAACTGAGGATCCCAGATGCGGAGGGCACAGAGAAAGAGGGAGATAAGAACACTTTTCTTGACAGGGGGAAACCTGATAGGAAAAGTAGTGAATGTACATGCCCCTGTGCATAGGTTTACAGTAAACTGAAAAAGGGAAAAACCCGTATCTGAGCGGTGGACATGGAAATCTAGGAAAGGAAGCAAGGAATTAGTTCTCATTCAGCTTTAAACTTAATAGAAGGGGCAAGATTATTAAAAGCTTCAAGAAAAGGTTGGAAGAGACTGGAGTCATGAGGCCACAGAGCAAAAATGTCATCCACATAGCGGAGCCAGAGTGAAGGTTGCACATCGAGGGTAGGAAGAAGAACAGTCTCGAAGTATTCCATGTAAAGATTAGCAGGACAGGAGAGAGAGGAGAACCCATAGGACACCAAAGGGTTTTGAGAATAATATTTCCCTTGGAAGGAAAAGGAGTTAGAGTCCACACAGAGGCGGTCAGATCAAGAAAGGACATCAGTGGGGATAGGGAGATGAAAAAACCCCTTTCATGGGCCTTCTCTCTAAGGAAAAATCAAGGACATCATCAAGAGGGACATTGGTGAAGAGGGACCTCAACGTCAAGACTAAGCATCTTACAGGTTGGGAGAGAGAGAACCCGTTCAATGAAGTCTTGAGAGTGACGTAGGTGGTAAGGAGAAAAAGTACCAAGAAAGGGAGTGAGGGTTTTGGCCAGCCAAGAAGCAAGAGAATAAGAGAAGAACCTTTCTAGAGGATATGATAGGACGAAGAGGAATATCAGGTTTATGAGTTTTGGGAAGGCCATAGAATGGGGAAAGAGAGGGAACGATGACACGAAACCGTTGAACAAGGTTTTCAAAGTGTCTTTCACTTACAATAATAATTTTCAATGTATCTATCAATTAAAATAATAATTTTTATTGTCTCTTTTATTTATAATAATAATTATTTGGAACTTGCCCTTTAATTACAATAATAATCTGAAATGTGGTCATTCAATTTTTAATATAATTTTAAATGTGTCATTAAATTTTACCATATTCTTTTACCAGGAAATTTTCGATTATTAAAAAGGAAGGACCCCCAAAGATACCAAATAAACATTTCAAAAAGAATTTCACTATGGGCCGAGTTGTTTATCTGGCGAACATAACTGGCCTGAGGCATTTATTGCTGCCAATATTCTATTTCTATTTGATTTGCCGGTATGGATCCTGGCCCGGTCTCTTCCAGTTTGGGGGACCCAGCTTTCGGCCCCCGGTAGGGAAGTGTAGTTTATCTTTTCTTGTACATGCATGGCAGTTTTTCGGCAAAAAGGGAAGGGTAGCTCTCCGGCTCCATGGCCAAAGGGACGTACCAAAAGCTAATGTGCACTAATGGCGGCTGGTGCGGTGTAATGTGGCTAAAAGCAGGCCCTCACAGTGACTTCAACTGGGGGGTGGTGGGTTTGACATGCAATGACTGGGAGTAAGGTTTCCAAGTCTCTGATGGCTAAGTACACAAGATGTGCTGCCTCATCCTTCTCGGGCTTGCCCCACTGGGGTCTTTGGGGAAAAGTGTCTACGGCAAAGGGGCATCATAGGTGGGCAGTCAAACAGGTAGTGCTTTCAAGGGTTTTGGAACCATTCGGTCACAATGGGCACAGAGCTCCCCTCATGCCCATTCAACAATCCGCACAGTGATAGAATGCCCTAAGCATAGGCAGTGGACATGCACTCTCATTTTCTTGGCCTACATCCGAATACTTGGAAGGGGTGCCTGTGGGCCACCCTGTTATACCAGCGGAGGCCCCATGTATCCCAGGGTCAGGGAGTGGGCCAGGCACCAGCAGCCCACAGCACAATCCGGCTGAGGCTGATGGAGATTGCAACACGTGACTGTTCTCTCGAGGGTTGCGGTCCTTGCAGCCTCATCTGGGTATCATTGCTGGGGATACCTACATGGCTCGGGATCCCTTTGATGGTGGCCCTGTGACCCTGGGCCATGAGGTCTACAGGTCACCCCGGATGGATGTGATTAAGTGTATGTTGTCCCTTGCTGTCTGGCATAAGTGCTTGGATCGTTGCCTCGGAAATCAACGTGGATAACGGGGGGTGTGATGGTCTGCAAGAGCATGCTGCAGAGCCTTGTTGGATGGCAAGGATTTTCAGCCTGGGAGGATGGTGGCAATGGTCAGGAGGCGCCAACCTGCTGTCAGATTGCTGTGGAATATCCAAGCAGCTGTGCGGCCTGCCACTGGGTCTATGGAGCCATCGGTGTAATATGGCACACACCCTGGGCCCTTCTGCACTCACAATGCTAGCAGAAGCAAGTCATTGCAGAATGTGTTGGGGGCATGTCTCTTGCTGCCTGGTAGGGTTGTCCAGCACACCGCCAACGGCTTGGTGCCCAAAGGGGCACCCACCATGTAGTTCACTGCCGTCTGTCAGCCTCCCGCCTGGAGCAATGTCATGCGCACGTACTTCTCTGTGGCATCTGCAATCGACCACACCCATCGACGGCCGGTGTGCATTGGAATGCCCTGTCCCTGGCGAACCATAAACCCCTCATCAGTATGTCAGCCCCTGGGCGTCGGAGGTACTTTGTAATCCTGTTGGCAGCCACAAGTTGGATCCTGTCTTCAAGGGGCTCTAGGTGTGCCTCAAAGTTCAGAGCCACTGCATTGGCCCACCTAGGAGCTCCCAGCATGGCCGTACAGCTGTGTTCTGGATCACGCAGGGGGGACTTGATGTTTGTGGCTCTGGCATGAACCAGAGCAAGCGCTCCTTTAGTCAACGGGGAGAGCGTATTGCCTGTATGTAGAACAACTCATGACTCGAGGCTGGCCCCAACCCTAGGGTTGGCCAAGGCACTCAATGCTCTGACCCTATGCAGGGCCCTCTCTTTGATGTGGTGCACATGTTTCTGGAAGGTGAGGCACCTGTCAATGTAGATGCCAAGGTCCCTATAACTGCGAACCCACTCCAGGGTCGATCCCCAGGACTGCAGCCTCTGATTGGGTTCCTGGTGCAAAGGATCATGGCTTTGGATTTTGCCACAGATATCTTGAGCCCCAAGTGATGGCAAGTGGAAGCCAGCAAATCAAGGTCCCCCTGGGCACGCTAAAAAAGCTGGTGCTTCCTAGGTACAACAAGTGCCAGGTCATCAGCGTTGCTGAGTAGGAAGGTGCCTGTGGGAAAGGCAGGCACATCAGCGGGGGCTCAGTACACTGAACAGGGGGGGGGACTAAGCACCCCGCCCTGTGGATTTGGCCGTTGTCCTGGGTCTTGAGAGAAGGGGGCACGCCCCTAGAAGCGTACCGGGGCCTGCCTGTCCTGGAAATAGGAACGAAGCCATGAAAGCAGCCTGCCCTTAACCCCCTGTGGGCTAAAAGGAGAGGATGGCAGGTGCATGGCTAGCTAAAAAGCTTTCTCGAGGTAAGGAAGACAACAATGTGGGCTTGGGCGTCTGACCCAATGCCGGCCAGTAGGGGTGATAAGGCTTTCGAAAGTGCCCACTCGCTCCTTGGTGAAGTCATAGTAGTGCTTATGAGGAGGGGCCAAGCTTCCACCTCAGGTGCTCCAACATCATCCTTTCAGACACCTTCGAGATGCAACTGGTGAGGGAAATGGGTCTCCACTGCCAGGATCCCAGGCTTAAATCGGTATGATGTCAGCCTCTTCCATACGCAGGGAGTTTGCCAGCTCGCAAAGTCTAGTTGCGGACCCCCAGGCCCAGAATGGCCAGACTGAGTGATCATGCCATGGGTGTTTCCCATCATGCCCCAGTGCAGTGTCCTAAATGAGATGTGAAGGCTGCTGGAGCTCCTGGTCGGTGAAGTCTTCATCTGTGACCTCTGAGCTGGATGCTGTTGGATCACCTTCTCCTCCTAGGAAGGAGGGTTTGGCTTGGAGTTCCGGAGATCTGAGGCAGTTGGACCCATAGCCACACTGGAGGCGAAAAGGTCCACCAGACTTTCTGCCCCCGTTACGGGGTCTGGGTGCAATCTAGCTACACTGCGCACTGCCAGTGGCCAGTTGTAACTTGATCCAAATCTCAGATAAGATGGAGGAGTAGCTGAGGGAGGCACACTACTTGAACCTTTTAGCATGCCGCACCATTTCCTGAGTAGATGCATGGACTAAATCAGGGGGATTACGCCTGTCCCAATTTGCTTTCGATGTTGATCCGGTGGTTCTGCTCCTGTGCCCTCGTTGTAAAACCCACCAGTCACGTTTATATGACCTCCACTGTAATCTTGGGTTTATGGCTGCTCGCTGCACAAGTGAAGGCCGCCTGAAAGCTCTGAGCTGCTTCATCTGGATCTTCTGGAAGAGGAGACTCTGCCCACCAGTGCTCGATGGACCTCCTGGAAGCACCCCCAGTTGGCCTTCTTGAGATTCCATCTGGGGGTAGGTGTGGGGGGGGCGGGCACCGTGGGACCATCAGTGTGGTGACCACTGCAAGAGAGCACAGGTGAGGCGGGGGTGGACCCCCCAATCTGGCACTCGAGAGCAACTGTTAGAGATGAGTGTGACTTTCAAGGCAGCCACCTAGGTGATGGGGTAGGCTCAGCAGTGAGGGAGAGCGATCTCAGGGCCTCCCCCAAGCACAGCCGCAAGGTGCCTCCCGTTTGCGTTGGGTTTGGGGGGACAGAAGTAAGTATTGGGTGGTGGGCATTGACATCCCCAGCCACAACAAGACCCCCAGGGGTGTGAGTGCTGCCACCTCTGAAATGTAAAGGGGTTTTGTACCGAGAGCTTCTGTATAAGTTGTAACACGAGAGGTCCATCCGGCAAGTGTAGGGTGACAGCCTGAACCTCCACGCCCTCTCTGCAGTTGTGGGGTCAGGGGGAAACTGAATGAGGGATAGTGGTCCTGACATAGATCGCTGTGCACTGCCAGTCCTTTCCAGGCGCTGAAAGTAAGCCGAGACTCCCTGGATGCGTGGCTGTGTTTGATGTGACGAACTGGGGTCCAGTGGGAGGGGCACAGGGGGTGTAAGAGCACCCCCTTGTACACCTTCTCCCAAGCAACTAGTTCCACTATGCTGGGATGCTTCACAACCAGCTCCTTCAACCCCTCGTAAGAATCTTCGTCCCGAGGAATGACCAAAACCTCGTTCCTAAAAGTGAACTCGCAGCGGAACTTGAGACGGTGGGTATACATTCCAGTACCTCACAAACTCGTAATTGGGAACCTTGAATTTGTTGAAGTCTCTGGTTGCTTGTGCACGAGCAGAGCAGGAATTCATTCTTCCACGTGGAGTCAGGTAGTCCCATCCTCTGTGGAGGACGATGCAACTGGGGTGGGGACCTGGGATGGCTCCATCCTTGCCAGTTGTGGAGCTACAGCCTCCGGGTTTTCCCTTCCATGACCCCTATGGCCATCTGGGGGTACAAGTCTTTTTGGGTAGCAGCTGCCAACGGATCTAGTGGCGGATCGGCAGATACAGTAGTCTCCACTGCACCTTGGCCCCTACCTGCCCCCACTTTGTCCTCCAACTAGTCCCACTCTTTCCCAATGAACGTTTAGGCAGCTCTCCTGGGTTGACATGGTGATTGTAGGAGGGGGTGACAGAACCAGCAGTGGAGCTGCTGCCCATTACCTCACAGCCGCCCCACTAGGTGCAGAACTGTGAGGCTCAGTCCCCCAGTAGGAGCCTTTAGCCACCCTAACGTGGCTCACGCTCTGAATCACAGAACACAGTCCAAGGATCACTAGAAACGACGGTAATCTGTGCATAAACTAAAACAGATGTATTTTCCCAAAGCGAACACAACACACTCTCTTTTCTCCAATCTCCGTCCTGTCCTGAAGTTGATCCGACTGCCCTTCTGACCGAACTGCCACTTAACTGAAGGTTCCCAAGTTAGCCACAATACGGGTTAGACTTTTTCTTAACTAAATTATGTAATTAATATATTAGTATTCAAATTTATAAAACCGATTAGTCACTAATCATCATTTTCTTCATCCACTGAAATTTAGGTAATCATAATTAAAGGGAAAAGACCTACTCGGAAGAAATGTTGAGGTTATTATAGAGGTAATACCAGAACTATCAGCAGACTTTACTATATGAGTCTAGGGGACAGTCTGAAATTTTTATTTGAAATAAGAAAAAAATTTTAAATTAATCATAAATGAAAGTTTTTGGGTAAACAAAAAAATGTAAAGGGGTTTACATTATTATTATCCAAAAATGATTTTAATTGTTGTGTAAATATAATTAAGAAAAAAAGAGGAGCAATTAAAAGAGCACAAGAGGTGTATATGCCATCACATATTATCTGATAGTTTTTTTTTAATACGTATTTTGGGAAATTAATGTTTTCCTAAAAGGGTAATGAAAAGTTAATATGCAGTTTAAAAACGCTTTGTGGTCGACGGGTTTCAATCCATTTAAATGCCTATAATTTCTCTATACATATTGGTACTCTGGAATAACCTGTCCCAGACTAGTTCTAGGTAAAAAAAAAAAGTACCAAGAAACGCTGGAAACAGCATAAAATCTTGGTACACAATCTACCCCGGCCCTAAAAGGGAGAGGTTTTCTAATCATTTTTCTTCTTTTTTTGCCGTCTCTTCGAAGATTTTAGCGTGATGAGTCTGACGATGCGACGTAGAATGAATAGAAGGCCAAACGTAATCAGATGGAGGAGGAAGATTACGTCCAGCATGAGGAAACTCCCCCCCAGGAGAGCTCTGCCGCTGGTGACCTCAGCTGGGGCGCCCTCTGTGACGGATGACGTACTCCGTCCAGAACCTGCCAGCTCCGTGGGTGGTATGGTTGATCCCGCAGTGGGCACTGACATCCTCAGCACATTTTCCTGATACTGTAAAACATGTACAGTTAGAAAATCTGAAATTTCACCCATACAAGTTACGATCAACAGGGGAAAAGTTGCAGAAATTTTTAAATGATTAGTTATGAAAGAAAGGACGGGGTTCAAATACTCGATTTAAGACTGACGAAGATTAGAATTAAAATGTAATATGATAAGAGGTTTAATAGTAAATATGTATACACCCTGGGGCAGAGAGGACTGTATAGGAGTTAAGGGAGTTTTGAACCAAGTTACAGAATATTGTTGCGGATGACATGAATGCTAAAGACGGGAAATATTGAAGATGCCATGTATAAATGTGAAGGGTGCTAGGAGAAATGATAATGGAAGGCCTCTTATTAGGCTTCAAAATAGATTTCTTTTAAAACAGGTAATACTTTTTTCAAAGGTAATGGTTACAAATTGCTAGGTTATGTATAAGTACTTAAAATGATGGTGGGTAGAATTCTGGATGTAAATGCCTGATCATTTTTAGGAGTAGCTACATTTAAAGTAAGGCGAAGATGGAGTAGACAGTGAATGACGTTATTAAAAGAGAAGTGATAATAAAAGAATTATTGGGAGATACAAGCAAATATTGAAAGAAAGAGGGGTCTAAAGAGTGTAGACAATAAGGTTAAATTTAATGTGATAAAATTAAGAATGCATAAGGTAACATTTATGAAATAATTCATGAAAACAATTACCCCAGACTTGAATTTGGATGTTACAGTTCGGAAGGCGGCATGGTTTAGAAGTCACACATTCATCATTCATCATCGAGACTCGTAAGGAACACCGGTGTGGAAAGATTTTAGGGCAGTGTGTGTTTGTGTTTGCTTGGAATATATATCTGTGTTAGTTTACACACAGACTGGCGACGTTTCCAGTGGTCCTTGGACTGTATTCAGTGTTTCAGGGCAGTGGGGCCACGTGCGGGTGGCAAAAGGGCCCCTGATTGAGGCACTGAGCCTCGCAGCTCTGCACCCAGTGTGAGTGGCTGTGAGGTCACAGGCAGCAGATTGCTGTGGCCTGTCCCATACCTCCCAGTCACCATGACAGACCCGGGGAGAGCGGCCTAAACGTTCATTGGAATGCGGGGACGGGTTGGGGGAAAAACGTGGGGCAGGTTTGGGAGCCCCATCAAGGAAGGGGCCAAGGAGCAGTAGGGGACTATTGCATCTGCCAAATCTGCCACTAGATCCGTCGGCAGCCGTACCCAAGGGACTTGCCCCCCCAGATGGCCATAGGGTTTGTGGAAGGAAGCCAGGAGGCTGTAGCTCCAAAAACTGGCAAGGATAGAGCCATTCCAGGGTCCCTACACTAGATGTGCTGGCCTCCACAGTGGACGGGGACGGGCTGATTTCACGTGGACGGAGGAATTCCGCTCAGCTCGGGCACAAGCAAACAAGGGCCTTCAACAAATTCAAGGTTCCGGATTACGGGTTTGTAAGGGATCTGGAAGGTCTACCCCACCTCAAGTTCCACTTTCGAGTTCACTCCAGGAACGAGGTTTTGGGCATTCCTCGGGAGGAGGATTCTTACGAGGAATTGAAGGGGCTGGTTGTGACCCATCCCAGCATGGTGGAACTGGTTGTTTCAGAGAAGGTGTACAAGGGGGTGCTCTTACACGTCCCTGAGCCCCTCCCACTGGACCCCATTTTGGAAGTGCCCAATATTGTCAAGGCGGAGCGACTCACTACAACAGTGAACAAGGTGCCCACCTGCCAAGTGCTGATCCACCACAAAGGTCCACTTCCCACGCACCTGGATCTTGGGGTCTGGGGAAGATTCAAGACCCGACCATACCTGTCGGACCCAGTACAATGCTTCATCTGTCAGGGGTTCAATCATATTGCAGCCACCTGCCAGTGAGAGAAGAAGTGTGGTGTGTGCAGCAAGGCACACGGCTCGAAGGACTGCATTGCCATTTCCCCAAACAACCAACCGGCAAAGCCTTCGGCCGGAGCCCAAGGTGGGCCCAAATGCTCAATTTAAAGGGACCATGCCCGGAACCGGAGCTGTCCTGTGATGGTGCAGCACTGGACAGCAGGTTTATCATTGGAACAACCCGACAGCCCCGACGCCACCCCAGCCTTGGGAACCACCCAGAAACAGTTGGTATGGGCTTCCGACAGCGGTTCCCCCGATACCGCAGGATGGCAATACCAGCGAGTTCCCGGCACTGGGCTCCCGGCAGTTGTATCAGGGGGCACGCACTGGCTTGCAGCAGCACGGTCAACTACGGGGTCAGATGGCAAGGTGGCCAAGAAGACAGAATCAATGGGAAAAACAGCCACAGGCCAGGCCCACTGCCCAGCAGGTCCCAGCTGGGCACCAACATTCCTTGCCATACCCAGCAGGCCCCTTCCCAAGGGCAGGCCCTACTGTGAGCAGCCAGGGGTCAGGCAGAGGTTCCCCGCCAGGGGACCCAGAAGCCCATGACCACTCAGGCTGGGCCCAGGGTGCACCCAAACTTATGCTGCTGCAGTGTCAACAGCCACCCAGACATACCAGTGACCCAGCCGACTCGACGGGTCGTCCAGTCAATGCCTGCAGAGGTAATGG